CGGGTAACTTTTCTCAAGGCAGGTTTTACAATCAAATTACGAACTGATTCGTTTGCAATCAAGTTGATTGCACCATGTTTGGCCAGTAGTCCAGATCCAGCCCAACCGGAAGCATTCAAAACACAAATCGGGTGGTCCGTGCAGACAGAGAGTGCTTTTTGCATAAAGAAACATTTGATAATATTCTATCGACACCCAACAGATTGCAAGTTTTTCATATTATCTATGATCATGTATTGAATGACCAGTTGCATTTCAGTCTTTCCGTAGACATCAAGTATTCAGTGTTACACATTGTAAGAAAACAGAGTAGCGAACAAGCTCGTTTGTGGTAATTCTTCTACAGGCTAATACATCACAATTTCAATCAAACTGTTTGGCAGCCGGGGGTCTCATGACAAGCTGGCAAAGAAATAATCATCAGACCAGTTCCATGACCCGGATGATATTGCTCACATTTTGGTCCTCACACCTGTGCACTGGTTCCGGTCATTAGGGATTGGTGGGGGATGACCATGTCGTGTGTGCTGTTGGCCATGGAAGACCGAGTGTGTTCTTGCGAGTTGTTTTTGTGAGCACACGGGGGGTGGGTGGGGGGTATGTAGGCGGATTCCGATCACTTCCGCGGTGGCTAGAATGCGACTCCTAATCCTCTTAGATCGACGGCTGCGAACTAAGTATGGGGTACGAAATGTCTCGGCCACATTAACTACGTGATTTGATTCCACAAGGTGTGAAACGATTGAGCTGTTGATAGTCTTAATTACTCCACTATTCAACCAGGCCGGGTGGTGCTCACGGACTCGTTCAGAAAACGGCGGCTGGTGCGGCCAATAAACCTTCTCGCACAGGAACCGGTAAATAAACACACACAGAAAGGGACGGTAGGAAAAAGGCAACATATCTTTGCGCTGAAAGAAGAAAAGGAGTAGTAGTAGTAGTAGTAGTAGTAGCAGTAGTAGTAGTAGTAGTGAACGGGACGAGAGGAAAATGCCACAATACAGGCAAATCGTAGTTCGTTTATTGGAAAACATGAAGGCGATTAAATAATCTGTACAAAAGAAGCTCACTGGTTTTCCAGGCTTCAACCAATGGTATTGGTATATTGTTTGCATAATTCTGCTTCTTTCTGCCTTGTCTCGGATTGGCTGGCACGATCCACCAATGGCGTGTAGTCAGAAGCCTTGAAGCGCACGCGCGTCATTGATGTCACCTTTCAAATTCGGCGTATAGCAGGGAGCCAGAAACTGTAATGCGCCGCTTCAGGGTAGGCTTCATCACGTAGGCCTGGGTTACCACAGTTATGTCTAATATTGGTGAAATCATTTTATGTTCGAATGTTTAAATATCCTATCCTGATTAAATTAAATAATTCATATGGTGAATTTCGTCATGTAGCGAGCTGCCTGGTGATCGACTGGGTAGTGTACTTACATTCTGACAGAGGTTCCCGGTTCGATCCCAAGTTGGTTGGATAGATACGCACTGCTGATAAGACCCAGTCAGGTAGAAAGTGCTGTAAAGGGTTTCTTAGGTTTTCAGTTCGCTTTTCATTAGGTCTTCACAGGACGAACTTCACCACATGAACAAACTAAGTCCTCCGCTTCTCCAAAGCGGAAAAAAATACAGTCAATCACCCCTCGGGAATTAGAAAAAAGGGGCTAGATTCCAGGAACGGTGACATAGCATGTTCGTTAGTAGTTGATAATAATAAGTAGTATGAAAAATCGTTGGGTAGTTTTGTAACAAAATAAACCGGTTCGATGAAAATTACAGCCATTCCGTTGCTTGTTCCCACTGTTTATAATTGTGCGCTGTTTATTTACAACGCAATTTAGATATCCCGACCTGCGTATCCTTTATGTATTGAAAAAATTCAAATCTTTTACGATTTTCTCAGCCTAATATTAGTCCGTTTAATCCAGTTTTCGGCCCTTTTTCAGTTTCACGTTTCTATGCATCCCGAAACTACCAACCTTACTCAATTGGAATTTGTTTGCAACCCAATGATCGCGTATTAATTACGGATTATTCTCCATCCCTTTGTAATATTAGGTAACCGCAGAATTGAGTATACGGTGTATAACTGCTTTATCTATTACAATCACATCATTAATAACTCATTCGATGAAAACAAAAATGAACCAAATCAAACGCGGGAAAAAATCGCATTCGATGGAAAACACGTCATCTAAAATAAGTGAAATATCTGTTACGGGGTACAATCAATACATTGACTTGTTTTGCATATTCGGAACTGATTGTTTGCTGTGTAATTTATTCATGATTTTCTGGTGAACATTAACTCTGCAGACATCTCTACTCGTTCGTTCGCTTTTACTGTTGCCAGTGTATGTTCGAATCCATCGATACTTTTGTTGGAGCCAGTGTCGGTAACCATAGGTGACGGATTAAGTTTAATACGTGATTTACAAATTAGAAGTGCATCGCTCAAACAGTCAGGGGCGCGTCAAACCCGGGTTTTAATCACCTTTGGCCAGTGGCCTGTCTAATTTCATCGGTGCCCTAGCAAGGACATACGTACGGCGTTTATCGATCATTTGGATGTGACATATTACTCCACACACCCGCTTACCGGTCAATCTTGACTATCGTTCACCCGTTTACACGTTAGTGCGACGGAGCCCGTCGATAGATCGAATGGCTTGGTGACCACTGCAACAAAAATGACCATATTCCGGTGCCCCACAGAATTACGAAAAAAACTTTGCGGATTAAAAAGATGTATTTTTAACAATCATAAATCGTCGCTTATCTCGTCTTGACTCTCCTTTGGAAATCGACAAGAGTGCTGTTTCAATCAATTGCACACTCCAGTAATCGACGGGAAATCCCAGCATTGGCCAAAGGAAACAGCTTCAG